GAGCAGACAAAGGAACAGCAAGAAGAGCATCAGGGGGCGCAGCAGCAAGCAGGACTAACAGAAGGAGCAGGAGGAGGAGGAGAAGCACTGAAGGAAGAGCACCGCAGCAGAAAGAGGAGCAGGATAAGGAGGGGGAAGAACGGGAGGAGGAGGAGCATGACCAGAAGAAACACTGGAGGAACAATGTCATCAAGAGGAGAACCAGCAACAGGAAGAGGGGCCGGAACCGCAGCATAACAAAAGTAGCCCGGCAAAGCAACCTAACTGCGATGTCTAGAAACATATCTGGAAGCATTCCCCTTAAGATTCAGATCAGAATCCAGTTGTAGAATTCTGCTGTTCTCGCAGTCGCAGTCGCATTCGCGATGACAGTCGCAGCGGCAACGGCAGTCACAGTCACAGCCTCAGCCTCGGCCTGCCTCAGCATCAGCCTGCCTCAGTTTCAGCCTCAGCCTGCCTCGGCCTCAGCCTCAGCCAGCTTCAGCCTCAGCCTCAGTCTGCCTTCAGCCTCGGCCTCAGCCTCAGCCTGCCTCAGCCTCAGCCTGCATCAGCCTCAGCCTCAGCCTCAGCCTGCCTCAGCCTCAGCCTGCTGCGCTCTCGCATACTCCTGCGGCCTCAGCCTGCCTCGGCCCCAGCCTGCATCAGCCTCAGCCTCAGCCTCAGCCTGCCTCAGCCTCAGCCTGCGGCGCTCCCGCATACTCCTGCGGCCTCAGCCTGCCTCGGCCTCAGCCTGCATCAGCCTCAGCCTCAGCCTCAGCCTGCCTCAGCCTCAGCCTGCTGCGCTCCCGCATACTCCTGCGGCCTCAGCCTGCCTCGGCCCCAGCCTGCATCAGCCTCAGCCTCAGCCTCAGCCTCAGCCTGCCTCAGCCTCAGCCTGCTGCGCTCCCGCATAATCCCGCGGCCTCAGCCTGCCTCAGCCTCAGCCTGCATCAGCCTCAGCCTCAGCCTCAGCCTGCCTCAGCCTCAGCCTGCTACGCTCCCGCATACCCCTGCGGCCTCAGCCTGCCTCGGCCCCAGCCTGCATCAGCCTCAGCCTCAGCCTCAGCCTGCCTCAGCCTCAGCCTGCTGCGCTCTCGCATACTCCCGCGGCCTCAGCCTGCCTCAGCCTCAGCCTGCATCAGCCTCAGCCTCAGCCTCAGCCTTCAGCCTCAGCCTCAGCCTGCCTCAGCCTCAGCCTCAGTCTGCCTTCAGCCTCGGCCTCAGCCTCAGCCTGCCTCAGCCTTCCTCAGCCTCAGCCTCAGCCTCAGCCTGCCTGAGCATCAGCCGGCTTCAGCGTCTGCCTCAGCCTGCCTCAGCGTCAGCCTCAGCCTCAGCGCCTCAGCCTCCGGGCATCCAAAATGTGGCCCGGGAGTGAGTGGAGTTCTGGGAACTCGAAGACCACGAAGTGGCCTACAGTTGGCTCCGGGCACCCAAAATGTGGCCCGGGAATGGAGTTCTGGAAACTCGAAGACCACGAAGTGGCCTACAGTTGGCTCCGGGCATCCAAAATGTGGCCCGGGAATGGAGCTCTGGGAAGTCGAAGAGCACGAAGTGGCCTACAGTTGGCTCCGGGCATCCAAAATGTACGCCGGGAATGGGGTTCTGGGAAGTCGAAGAGCACGAAGTGGCCTACAGTTGGCTCCGGGCATCCAAAATTTACGCTGGGAATGGAGTTCTAGCAGCGCCGAGAGCGATTTTGCGAGGATGTCCCAGGCGATTTGGGCGTCGGCGGCAGCCGCCCCAGGTCCCGCCCCGACCCCCCTGAGGAGTCATGATGCTCTCTTTTGACCCCACTAGAAACCTATCAGTCTTCGCTGTTAGGTAAAAAGGAAGCAGCAGGAGGAACAGCAGGAGGAGCAGGAGGACCAGCAGAAGCAGCTGGAGGAGCGGGGCAAAACCATCAGGAGAACAGCAGGCGGAGCAGCAGGAACAGCAGGAGGAAATGCAGCATACGCAGAATAAATAGTAGGAGCAGGGAGGAGCAGCAGTAGCAGCAAAAGGTGCAGCAGGAGTAGCTCGAGGAGCAGCAGTACTGGCAGGAGGAGCAGCACAGGGTGCAGCAAGAGGACCCGCAAGAGGAGCAGCCAGAGGAGGAGGAGGAGCAGCAGGCGGAGCACCAGAGGAAGAGCAGGAGGAGCACGAGGAGGAGCAGCTGCCAGAGGAGCAACTGCCGAGGAGCGGCAGCAGGAGGAGCAGCAGCACCAGCAGGAAGAGCACCCGAGGAAGAGCAGGAGGAGCACCAGCGCAGCAGCAGGACCAACTGCAGCAGCAGAGGCAGCATCGGCAGCTCCGCAGTCCCGGCGTTCCCTTCATCCCCAGCGAGCTGGACGATTGCAAACGCCACAGCATGCTTTTCGTCTTATTATTATCCGTATTGTTATTACTCCTCCTCCCTTTCCTCCTCCTCCTCCTCCTCCTCCGCCTCCGCCTCCTCCTCAACCATGCCTGACATCACCACACCATGCCTGAGAGCCCAAACGCCATACCCGAGGGGGAGCCAGGTCCCCTCGGAGAGGACGCGCGGTAGCATCACAGGAGTCCTGGGAGGCCCCCCGTCACGGACGTTCCGGGCTCCACAAACAATGATGCCACCGAAGTTCCCCACATCGCGTGGATGTTGCGGGGTTTGCGGGATCAACGGGGCACACACATGTAGTAAGAAAAAAGAAGGCCCATGCCGATCAGATATTGTCATGTGGTGGCTAAAGAAGGCAAGGAAGAGAGGCAGAATGGAAGGGGAGGATGGCTGTTCAGGACGCACCCCCTCCCTCTTTGTACAGCAGGGTGACTACAGTTTAAATAGCTTGGTATTCCGATACCCTCCTTGCTCTGACGGGGCTGCCCTGGAGGGGTGGGCGCAGAAACTTGGAGATAGTTTGGTATTTTGATACCCTCCTCGCGCTGGCGGGGCCTTGAAGGGGTGGGTGAGGCAGGGAACCTTGTAAATAGGATGGCTTTCTGATACCCTCCTCGCTCTGGCGGGCCTCCCTGGAGGGGTGGGAGGGGCACGAAGCCTTGTAGTAAATAGTATGGCTTTCTGGCACCCTCCTCGTTCTGGCGGGGCCGGGGTGGGAGGGGCAAGACACCTTGCAAATAGTATGGTATTCCGATATCTTCCTCTCTCTGGCGGGATCTCCCTGGGGGGTGGGAGGGGCAGGAACAATTGTAAATAGTACTGTTTTCCGATACCCTCCTCGCTCTAGCGGGGCTCCTTGCAGAGATAGGAGGGGGGTCAGGGGGCAATCTAAATAGTTGTCCGACATCCACCTTGCACTGACGGGGCCTCCCCGGAGGGGTCGGAGGGGCGAGAAACATTGTAAACAGTATGGTATTTCGACACCCTCCTCGCTCGGGCGGGGCCTCCCTGGAGGGGTGGGTTTGGCACGAAGCCTTGTAAATAGTATGCGTTTCCGATGCCCTCCTCTCTCTGGCGGGGCCTCGCTTCGGGGGGGTGGAAGGGGCACGAAAGCTTGTAAGGAGTGGAATGATATGATACCCTCCTCGCTCTGGCAGGCCTCCCTGGAGGGCTGGGAGGGGCGCGAAACATTGTAAATAGTATGGTTTGATCCTCATCGCTCTGGCGGGGCCTCCCTGGAGGGGTGGGAGGGGCAGGACACCTCCTCGCTCTGGCGGGGCCTCCTTGGAGGGATGGGAGGGGGGCAGGAAGCCATGTATACATATATATATATGTATATATACACACATATATATGTATACATACATGTATATGAATATGTATACATATATATATATGTATATGTATATATAGATATATATGTGTATATATATACACACACTCAATTTTCGGATACCCTCCTCGCTCTGGCGGGGCCTCCCTGGAGAGGTGGGGAAGGCGCGAAACATTGTAAATAATATTGTATTCCGATATCCTCCTCGCTCTTACGGGGCCTCCCTGGGAGGGTAGGTGGGATGGCATGGCATTCCGATATCATCCTCGGTCTGGCGGGGCCTCCCTGGAGGGGTGGGAGGGGCACGAAACCAGGTTACCAGTATGGTAGTCCGATGCACTCCTCGCTCTGGCGGGGCCTCCCTGAGGGGGTGGGAGAGACAGGAATCCTTGTACATCATATAGTGGTAGGAAGTGGAGGCAGAGGTGGGAGGCGGAGGAGAGTGTGTTCTGTGAAACAAGAACCCCACTCCGGATGTGGGGAAAGAACGCCCTCGTGCACAAGGCAGGGAAGCATATGCACCGATCATGGGTCGATCCCGGTCTCGCCTCCCGACACGGGGCCACTGTAAGACGAGGCACGGACGAGGATAACGCCGGGTGAGAATAAACTGAGACTCTCTGAGACCCGGCGGCTCTGGAGGATGCGTTCCAGGACGCTCTGAGAGTGTTCCGGAACGATATGGAACGCATTTTTCCTTGTCCTAGCCCCGTCCGACACTGCCCTAGCTCGAGGAGCCAGACGGGTCTCCAGGACTGGGCCTGGTACGTGTTCGCCTGGCCGCTGTCGGCAGGGCAAATTTGCCCGGCCAATGCGGGGGGGATTGACGGCTGAGAGCGAAGGAAGCGCGAGGGAGCGTGATCGGGGGATGAAGGAGGTCGGAGCCCGGACCCCGTCGCGTCGTCACCAAGGTTGTGGCGGTAACTGTCTGGTCCTTTTCGCCCTCTGGGGCTGGCAATGGCCCTGGGACGACTCAGGACGAGAAACCAGTCACAGGGGTGTGGTCCAAAACTTCTGGGGGTCTGTGATACGAGGCGAAGCACACGACGTTGGGGTCTGGGGAAGGGAGTATGGCAGGAGTGTGAGGCAGATGCTTTCTGTACCCAGGGGTATCCGAATCACCCTGTGAGCATCCAGAGTAATATACTCTCGCCAAGGCTTTACCCAAGCAACAAAGCAAGATTCAACGGTCAGAAAAAAAACGGGTACGTATGTACCGAGGACTCTCCCCAAAAGGGGAGTGCACGAATTGCCAGGTCTCCTTTCGACAGACGGGTTTGGGCCACATATGTTTGGCCACAAACCAAAGTTACACGCGGACGGCCATAACATATGCCACCTGGGTCGTGGCACAACATTCCCGCTTCTCTGCCATCCGCAACGCAGCGTGTTTTCCATCGTGCAAATATGCCTCACGGCTTGGTTTGGATCGGCTTCTGCTCGTGTCAGGTTCATGTATTGACCGGGGACGTGACGGTGGACCTGGTCGGGCAAAGCACCTCGGATGGGCATGTGCGGAGACAGCTTGCAGCGAACCTCCACTTCGCTGGACAAGACACGGCTGAACAGGACACGGGTTACGATTACAAGCCAAAGAAAAACAGCGTTGGCGAACACCTGCTCGAACTGGCAACCGTGGGGAGCGCGACGGACCTTCAAATGGCGGGGCCGCCTGGAGAGCCATGGCTGCTCCAGGCAACATCCGATTCGCAGGCTGAAGCCTTGGCCCGGCTCCACCGATGCCCCAACTGGAGGGAGAGGAGGCAGAAGGGAGGAGGAGGAGGAGGAGGAGGAGGA